AATTGATGCTTATTAATCGATTAATAGATTAATTCATGTTGATTAATAGATTAATTCACATTGATTAATAGATTAATTCATGTTGATTAATCGATTAATTCATGTTAATTAATCTATTAAATGATTGTTCCGCTGAAGCATTTGAAATCAGTAGCAATATTTCGATTTTCCATCTTCTATTAATCGATTAACATTCTGTCCCGCTGAAAGATATGAAGTCGATTAATCGATTTTCCAACTCTATATTAATTGATTATTATGTGCTGGAACCAGAGAAACTTTTCAGAAAATTTGTATTTGAAATATTAAATCATATTCTTGATATCAAACAATTATGATCAATATGGAAATAGATTTCTGGAAATAAATACGATGTTTTGACATACCCAATAACCTTATATGATGCATGACGGTAAGCTAGAGTGTTAACACTCGATGCTAGGCTGCTAATTGTTATTGAATATTATGATGATTATTATTATGAATGATTAAGATGAATTGATGATTAAATACTGATGAACCTACTGATTAAAATGATTATCGTGAATGATTCAACAATGACTTAAAAACGCATATGTTAATGATTATAATATATATTGAATTTAAGAGTATCTACAAGAACTCTAAGATATACCCATAGTGATATTGATTTTTAAGGGTATCTAGAAGAACTCTAAGATATACCCATTTAGTTAGGCCTTGTGGGTATGATGTTTGGTGGCCAAGGTTAAAATGTACGTACGGAATCCACAAACCAAACTTGAGTACCTACTCATTTGGGGGTACCACCCAACCCGACTATAAACATTCCGCTGTTCGATTTCTGGTTGACCTTAAGCGAAGGTAAGTTAAAGATTTTGAAAGCCTTTTTGAAAATCTGTATCTTAAACTATGCCTAGCTTAAGGGTTTGTTAGGAATACCTTAAACTAGAATTAGTTTAAGAATTAAATTGGCCTTAGACTAAGGATAGTTTATGAGCATTGTAGACACTATGAATGTTGAATATGAATGATGAATATGAATGTCGAATGTCGAATAATAAATGATGAATATTGATTATTGATTATTGAATATCTGAACAGAACATTTGTGCATGATATCAAATGATTTGATTATGAATTGAGACTCAATTTTACATGGATGTTCGACGCATTAGATATGCTTACTTAGCTTCAACGCTGAGCGTGTAGTATGTTTTATTTGCTACATGCAGGTTAATAGAAAGAATGATGTGACGTAATCCTGGAGGCATACAGAGGCCAGATTGTCCGAATGGATGTGATGGTTTTGAATTGAAGAACATAAATAAATTGTGTTTATGATTATGATTTGTTAAGCTTCCGCAATATGGAAAACTTCATACTCTTACTATTGTGAATATTATTCTTATGATGTATAAAAGTGTTTGAAATGTTTTAAATTTTTATGATTACCAAGTTAATACTTTAGTCAGAAAAGGGCTGCAGACCTGGACGGATTAGGGTGTTACATCTTGTCCTTCTCATTCTTGAGCTTAGGACACATTGGTTTAATGTGTCCTATTTCACCACACCCATAGCATTTGGGTGGAGTGTTCTTCTTGGCTGCCTTCTTCATCATCATCTTCTTGAATCTTCGGACGAAGAGCCCGAGGTCGGCGTCGTCACTATCATCATCATCGTCAATGCTGTTGTCGTTGTTTGACATTGATGCGACTAGAGCACTGGTTCTCTTTCTCTTCTCTTCAACCACTTTATAAAGTTGAGTGGTTTCATAGCTAATAAGATTACCTCGAAGAGAACCATAAGTGGTCATTTGAAAGTCACGACCTTCTTCGCTTGCGTCCACCTTTGAACGCCACTTCGATGTCAAGCTCCGCAGCACCTTCCTCACTAGTTCTCGGTCGGTGTAGACTTTCCCGAGAAGATTTAAAGGATTGACGATGTTAGAGAATCTCTCAAACATATCCTCTATCTTCTCGTTTTCCTTCATGGAAAAAAATTCATACACGTGGGTGAGTTGATCAATTCGTCTCTCTTACTTGGGCGGTTCCTTCGTAGGTGATCTCCATCTTCTCCCACATATACTTTGCGGTTTCACACCACGATATCTTGTAGTAGTCATCCGCATTAAGGCCACAATAAATCATGTTTATTTCTTTGGCGTTGAGCTCCATCTTCTTGCAATCTTCGTCGGTGTATTCCTCTTCGGTTTTAGGAAAGTCGATTTCTCTGACTTTCTTCATAGAAATGCTCCAACTGTTCTTCACAATCAACCACAACTTATAGTCGTTGGATTGAATGAAGATCCTCATCCTTTCCTTCCAATACGAGTAGTTTGTTCCATCGAACAATGGTGGCCTCGTGGTGGATTGACCCTCCTTAACTCATGCGTTGAACATTCTAGAAGCCATTGATCTTTGAATTCCTGAAAAATAAGATGTATTCAAAGAATTTCCTCCTCCGATACCAATTGTTAGACAAAACGTGCAACTCTAGAGGGGGGAAGAATAGAGTTGTTTTCTAGAATGAGTGTTTTTCGCGTGTGTGATAAACGTAAAGAAAAATTGAAGGAAATATGTAAAGAGTAAAGAGAAAGAAGAACACCGTGATGTATACTGGTTCACCACCTCGTGGCTAGTCCAGTCCTCCGAGAGACTCTCTCAAAGGTCCTACTATACTTCAAGCTTCAATGGGTGCTTGAAAAACCGATTACAACTCGAGAACTTGAATCCCATAAGCCTCAACTTCTTACAAACAAGACTTGAATCACACAAGTCTTAAAACTAAGGAAGTAGTGTTTAAATGTAAAGCTCTAATAGATGACATTATCTTTGCACTTAATAAAAATATGTTTCTAGGTTTCAAAATAATGATTTGATGATCAAGAATGGAGCAAGAGTGAAATGTATTAGAGAGGAAGAGAATGGAGTGCTTGAATTGTGTATGAAATGAAGGAGGAAGAGGGACTGAATAGGGCTAAGAAAAATAAATCCGTTGCGGAGAAAAAAGAAATGTTTTTTGACAGATTTAACCTCAGGTGATTGATATAACCCATATGATCGATCACCAAGATTTAAAAAATTTGGTAAAAATTTCGATCACAGCATCGGGTGATCGATCCACACCCCTGGATCAATCCCACAAAGAAAATGTTGGGTACATTGTGATCGATCCAGGGAGGTGGATCGATCCAGGGAGGTGAATCGATCCACTGAAGAATTGCTCTGCACACGATGATTGATCCAAAAAGGTGGATCGATCCTCTGAAGAATCATGTCCAAACATAAAGGACCCAAGGCATGTGTGCAAGTTGAAGTGCATTTTTAAACTTATGGGTTTGTTTGGGACATTGAAATCAGGGGTAAGGCTTCCCATCCTATCAAGAATTATTCAAAAAATAATTTTTGAATAAATGAAGGAAATTTTTTGGTGTAGAAATGAGTCCCAAAAATATTTTGTGTATCAAATGATGTACACAAAAAATATTTAAAAATATATTTTTTCTTAACCATAAAAATTTGTATATCTTAAAATGATATTTTTGACACACTTTTTATAATTGACCCAATAGAATATTTTTAGATAGAGAAAAGTTTATTTTTCAACTAACTCTAAAAATAATAGTTTAACCCTTAGAAAGTAATTTGTTTAAGTGAAAAATCTTCGCCATCCTTACAAATGTTCCTACGACTCAATAAAAATAAAAAATCTTCGAAATCTTCACTTCACTTCATAAAATTCAGCGTAGGAATTGGATCTTCGAAAATAATCGTTGTAAAAATTCTTGATACGCCTCTTCGCTTTCTCGAATCGAAAATAAAATTTTCATTCGGCGTTGCGTTTGTTATTTATGAAAACCTGAAAAATAATATTAAAGAATATCCAAAAGGGGTTTGAACTCATGTCCAACACTGTTCACCCAAACTTTAGATTATTGACTAGGAGGATTACCCGGGTGGGGTACCAAATGTCAAATCCTTGCCAGTGGGTTTAAGTACCAGGCGGGACGCCACTTGGATGTGATAGCACAAGTTGATGATGAGACAAGACGAATAAAGCCCATACCGCCTACCCTGCAGCACGGAGTTCAACCTGAATGGGGGGGGGAATAAAACCGCCAAGACATTATTGTAATAAAGAAATTACGTGAAATATAACAAGCGAATTACAGGTGTTCCACCTCTAATCCTTCCAAACTTTGTGTTTCGTTTTGTCTTAGTTGGCATAGATTTTACATCATCAAGTGCCAATACATTACCATGTACATTACTAAAAAGTATTGTAAATTATCCATATAAAGTGTGACATTACCACAGTGCAAACTCTTATTTTAGAGATAAAAACATGAAGCTCTTATTTTAGTACTTTCTCTATGTTTTACTCTTATTTAGGGTGATTTTTAAATTAAAAGATAAATACAACAAATGTAATCACCCGTCAATTTATGAGATCCGTGGAAAACTCATTGGAGTAAGCAAATCCCATTTTTTAAGACAAAAATTTTCCTACCTAAAGTTCCGAGCCTAATCAGGAAAATGGGCTAATCTTTTTATGAATTTGACAGTTTTGTCAATTAGGTGTACAAAAAATTGCCAAGTAATCATAATACTTATCACACTCTTAAATCATCAACTCTCAAATATTATCCAATAAAAATGGCTAAGTAATCATGATTTTTAATATCTGTCAAGACCCGTAACCAAATTCAATATCCGATAAAAATAAATGAATATGAATTTGGTAACGACACATCAGATCCGATTAACATCCCCTATCTAAAATCAATTCATGTTAAAAGAAACACATATCTAAGTCTTTTAGTGCATTCTGCACACACAAGCAGCCAAGACATTCAAGTATAACTTGGCTCAAATAGTCTCTGCCACTGGAAAATTAATGCGCAAATGACCAACAAGATAATAGTAATAGTAGTTGTAGTAGAAAATTAGAATAAACTAGGAGTTGGAATAAAATTGAACAAGTTAGAAGAAACTGGAACGAGTTGAAGCGACAAGAGAAAAACTATGAGCTAAGACCCAAACTACTACCCAACTTCCATAATTCCAGATCATATCCATCTAAAGGGGAAGGGATTCCATGGTTGATGATTCATGTTCTCGCTCTAGAAGAAGGCATCTGAGAACCAAAGGGGTAAACCACACCACAGTAATTGTTATTCATCCTTTAGTGTTTGTTATTCATCCTTTAGTGTTTTGAACTTTCAATCATTATACAATATATCCAACATCCTCATGTTAGGCTCGGTTTGGTGTGGTTGCCACACCACACCACAGTAATTGTTATTCTTTCCTTAATAATAAGTTTTCCAAGATTCTCATACAGAACTGCATTTGTGGCGTGTACGTTCGTAGATATTTGTAAGCAATTATCTCTCATTAATCTTCAAGTACGGAATGTTATTCAAAGTCATGCTATGCGCAATACCAGCAGTGATTTGCAGGTGTCGCCGCGCATGTCATCTGCCAATAAGCTTGCTCATTGCCGCATTCACCCTTTCATCTGTGATCATCTTGTGGAAATCATAAAAATCTAATATTTCCATTGCAATGTTTTTCACCTGTCATGGATTCAACAGGGGGGGGGGGGGTAAAATGGTAATTTTCTTATGTGCATGTTGTGGAGTAATTCTAACAGTTATGAGAGAGATTTAGCTTGCAAGCAGCAATACCATGTTCATGTCAGCTTGAAGCTCTTCAAACCAGGGAGTGTTCTCCTTGTCCTTCAATGCACTCCCTATGTAAATGCATGCTAGTGCAATCAAGTGTGGTGGGTGTATAAGAATCAGATCCATCTTATATGTATCGTTCACAATTCCCCTGAAAATGCAGTAACATACAGCATACAAAAGACAGACAGGTTTTACGTACAGGCTAAGGCTAACAATATACACAGATGGATAAGACTGAAATAATGCCCATTATTACCATATCAGTTGAGTTGAGTCGCTCATGCCAGCATCTTGAAGCAACCTAACAGCATATGAAAACAAGTGAACCACTCACTCTGCACTAATCAAGAAATGATCAAATTGGAACTAGTCAAATAAATTGCAATTCCACAGCTCAATCAACTTGTGTAGAATTTGCATAATTTATTTGAAACTTTAATTCTGTTCTTCTAAACCATGTATCTAAACTAAGTATATGTTATAATGATTTCGCATTTTTGCAACACATAAAAGCTTTAGAAAGCAATTCTTACGGTGTTAGAGACCGGTATGGATGGAATACAACAAGGTAATAGTTGAGAGCTTCCAAAAGCTTCATTTCCATTTCAAGGATGTCCTTTACTTCATATCTATACTTCTCATCGGAGTCTGAAAAAGAAAAATAAAATGGGGTGTCAATTGCGTAAAAAGGTAGGGAATGAAATAAGTAAATGGAATGTTAAAAAATCCTAATTGTTTACATAATTTCTTGATGTAAAACACAAGATGCCTAGCCTGCATTGTGCTCTCTTCAGCTTTTGATGCCAGGTATAAGCAAGCCGGAGCAACCAGGCGAGGATCATACTCGATCATACTCTTTCTGAAAGGAATAGAAGGAAATGTAGTTATAAGTACTCATGTTTCCAGAGTGAGAAGGAAATTAGGTGTGAAAACATAACAAACTAAAGGGAACAAAAAGGGTGATCGAGACAGATTGATCAACTTAATGAAAGACAACAAGTCATTAGTTGTTCATATTACTCCTATACTGAGGAAATTACCGGAATATACCTGACGTAAACACGTCTCATATACGAAATGGCAGTAGCTACGACCCTGATAAAAACCAGAGTGTTAGAGACTGCAAAAATTTTTGCCAAATGTGGCAAAGAAAACAAGATGTGAAATTTTCCCCCATTCTTAGAGCACACAAGAGAAGATTATATTTACTATCTAATCAGCCGGATTTATCAGAAGGAAACACAAACCTTTGTCTTACTTTTACATTTTGAGCTAGTCTTGTCATGTCTGTAAAGATAGCAAAATAGGGTTATCATTGCATGATAAGCGAAAGAGATTAAGAATGTAGAAAAAGGTACAAATTCATTCAAGAAATATGCAAGCAAGGAGAAGAACAAATGTGGCATCGTGTTT